TCCTCATTCAAGCACTGGACGCGAATATTGGAATTAGTTTGATTTGTGTTGTTGAGCGAGTACCAGTGCAATGTTTGCATTTCATCCGTCATAAACTGCTTTCAAGCTTCCTCCCATATAAAAGTTAAAAGCCTTAAATTGCACTTTTTTGCAAAAGCTAGAGGCGATACCCTGAATGGAGTCGCAGAGATGAAAGATGTACGGAAACCACACACGCGGGCGCCTACGACTGTGTCCCGCGGAACCCCTGCACTGCCAGAAACATGCCAATTTATTCTAGAAATTACAAAAGAATTTACTCGTTGGAGGACTACGGGCGGAATAGCGTTCAACAGATCACATTTAACATTTTGTCGCTTACCTAAAAAATGTTTTGCTTTACCTCTGCCATGAAGAACTAAAACCAGTCATTGAACCATTTGATTCAAATAGAAACAAACAGGTAGCTGCCAAAATAGCTCCGCCCTCTATTAAATAAAAAAAAGAAACGGAAAAACAAACTTTACTCATGAAAGGTTATTGTTGTTGCCTCCCCTGATAGAGAACAGTTACTTAAAATAGTGTTGAATCGGCATTTGAAATAAAAAACACGACGGTTTCTGGCCAAATGGCCGGTCTATAATATCGCAATATATCACAGCTTCAGCACAAAGCATTTCCGATTTCCTTTTCTTGCTGTCTATAAGACGTTCGAGAACCATCAAAATTCAGATCAAGCCAACCTTGCCAACAACACAAATCTGAGCAGAAGAAGAATTATTCTCTTATCTTTTACGTCATGTTTCTTGTCCGGCCCACTGCCAAATCTCAAAATCCAAAGTCAAGGTCTTCTCGTCGATTTTGGCACAGCAACATTTCGGGATTTCTTGACATTAATCGTCATTCAATCGTTAACTCCTGTTCAACGGAAAAGGAGAATGGGCGAGCCAGAGAATCGTGCCTGGGTCATTGCTAGAACGAACACCACGTTTCAGACTTGACAATGCTCCATCTTTAGAGAATGTCGTCAGCAGCATGCCGAGCAGTACAGGAATTGTGGCCAGTCCTGGTGAAGACGCGTGAGAGGAAGAGCGGGAAGTTTGTTTCTTTTGTTTGGCCAATCAACAGGGCGGGCCATGGGCCCCTTGGCCGTGCCCCCCATTAGCTACGCCAGTGCCCCTGGATACCTCTATTATATAACCAAGAATTGTCATTATCTACCCCTCGATATCTGGACGTTATAACAATATTTGTCAATTATTATCCGCCTGATATCTCATTATATACAATACATGCGTTCTTGATTCCTTCGTACTTCTTTCAGTACAATCAATAGCAAAGTACGATGTTAACATTAGCGTGATGCAGATATTAATAAATGCTCACTAGCGCGACATACCGGGCGTTTGCCCGGGGAAATCTCAGTGACTGTACTCAGTTGTGACGTGCCCGTGGAAAGGAAAATACCCAAAAAATCTAACTATCCTATCTATCCATAGCATCCATCCATCCATCCATCGCACGCGCATAGCCCATCCCATCCAATCTCCATGCCCAATCCCATGACATTGCCATCCCATGACCATGCCATGCCATGCCATCGCACCGACATCCATCCCAGCCATCGCATAGCCTCCCAAACGCAAAAAAATAATAAGAAATCAAAAGATCAAAGACATAATATAAAAAATCTCAAAATTAAAAAGTAAGAATATTAACAATAATACATACTAAAGATGGAGGTAAAGGGAAAAGGGGAAAATAAGTTCCCCCAGGCTTCCGGGCACTCCGAACCGGAATCAGGTGTGGCACCGGAATGTTCTAGCGAGTACGGCCACTGCGCCGGGTTAAGCGGTATACCATAGCATATCATATAACAAACGCGTTGTTATTATGATATCTATGGGGCTTGATACCCCATGAAATTCACCAGTACGTGGCCATGTTAATCTGTAGCGCCACCGCCATCTATTGATAATGGGAATTGTTATAAATTTTGTATTTGTTTTATATTTTTGTTTCAGCCCAGACCCACATCCAGGACGTGCTGATCTTAAGTTTTCTCTACCCCAGGCTGCGGTACGTTCTCTAGTTATGCGAGTACGAACTAATTCGGCTGAACCAACTTTTTATAGCTAGATACACACCAGCTCCCAGTTGATATCCTACACCTACATGTCGGTGCGTTTTGCCGCACGGGAATTAAGAAGGACATACTTTACTCTAGGTTCCAGGCGGTTATTTTCACGAAGTGTGTAGTGCGCGCCTGCCGACGACGCCGCGAAACGTTGTGTGTGCGCGCCGGGAACGTCGTGTGTGCGCGCCGGCGACGTGCGTATGTGTGGCACGCCGGAACGGTGCCGTATGTTGTTGTGCGCGCGCGCCCGCGAACGTGGTTATGGTGTGCGGCAGCGGCTAGCGTGCCGTACGTGTGTTGCGCGCCGCCGAGCGTTGCGATGTGTCGTGCGCGCACGAAGCGTGCGTATGTGTGTGCGCGCACGAACGTGCGTATGTGTGTGCGCGCACGAACGTGCGTATGTGTGTGCGCGCACGAACGTGCGTATGTGTGTGCGCGCGCGAGCGTGCGTATGTATGTGCGCGCACGAGCGTGCGTATGTGTGCACGCGTATCTCCCAAATAAAATATTGAGATCGGGATTTGCAATGCACATATAATCTACGTCTACGCCGATTCTCTCCTTTACAACACGCAAGACCGATCGTGTAGCACAACCTTGAGGAATAACTCGCCGATATCTCTCAAAGAGCGAGTTCCTTCGCCGCGATTTGAAACGTTGAGTGTATACTATGCAGATGTGTGGGCATGCGCACTATCTTACGATGAGAATGATTATATTCATATGATAGATGTCCGTCAAAATATCTCCTCACAAAGAAGGGGAATCATATATTATAGATGCCTGCACCCCAAGCCGTATACATAAGTAGGCCTACGGGGTTATGTAGAAGTTGGGGTGTGACCGCCAAAGTAAATATTGTGATTCAGATTGTGATTGCCGATGCACACCTACTTCTGACCAGGTACTATCTCTTTTATGTACATAAGAGCGAACAACTAGCTTTACCTTTGCGATATAATACGCGGCAGATACCTTCTGGATGCAACCTGGCTCTAAATACATATATTAATGTTATACTTTCATTTTTGTACATATTTCTACATTTTTGTTTAGCAGTTGTTTTACAGCTAATATAATCTGCAGCTTTTTTTCCCCCGAGGCGTTCGCGTGCCAATATATTGTCAACAATTTTAGAAAAGCGGTCGCCGAATCTCCTTCCTCGTTCGTCTGTGGCGAATTTTAAATAACATGCAAGCTAAGATCCGTGACAATCTTGTAGCGTCACGTTATACTCCGCCTATCGCGAGAATTAAATCTCACAATCAATTCCCAAGGACGTCGCGCGGTGGGTTTTCTTTGCTGCCGCTCGCCAGCGAAGACCGTAATCGCAGTTAATACTGAGTGTGAACGCTGCACTTTCTCCACGGCGTATGTGCTGAGTCACTCAGTAAATTATGGGACGTTGTGTTGTGTTACAACGCGTTTGTGCGTTCCGGCCAATATTTAATAGAGGCGTTGGAAAAATTGTCATATGCGTGCCAGTCCATATGATCCAATCAGGAGTAAGATAATATAGGTTATCTACTATTATCCTATATACTAATATCCTATATACTAATATCCTATATTATCTTACTCCTGATCCAATCATTATCGTAGCCGAATGCTTTCGTGAAGCGCTCTAGCCTGACAAAAGTGTCGAGTAGGGCCCTATATACCTATAATTGTGACACGCGAGACAATACCCATCCTTAAACATGAGTTTGAGCATTAAAATATACCGTTGTAGACACGCAGGCTGACGTACGCATTGACATCGTTCTAACTGCTGCGACCCTGGCGAAACTTGATATATTATACAATACTTATATAACATGTATAATATTACATTAAAATACTATTCCATATTACAGTTTATAATATACGTATGTAATACAATATTCCCGATCAAACGCTTAACAATAGATCTCAGAACTCATTTCTATACCACGAGTGTGCACCGCGGACTAAATGTCAAACTGTTCAAACCGAGTCAAGTGAAACGGCTTTGAAACTGGCGCTTGAGATGGTATCAACTACCACTCTAGCTATAATACTTATCTTTTTATGCGACCTGGAGGAGGGGCAATACACTAATTACTCTACGTTTACTAATACGACTACTAATACACTAATTGTGTTTAGTTCCCATGTGATTTATCGTCTTATACATAGCCGATTGCCTAAATATAATGACTTAATCGTACAATGTCATTTCCTCCAAGACCAACATACAATAGATACAGAGTAGGGTCTATCTATAGATGATCTAATATCAAGTTTAATGAGCAAGCATAATTACTGATAAATATTTCCATTCAGATGTAATTTATGCAGGGGTGGCGCCAGAGATTGTCCGATGGGGGACCTGGATCCCCAACGGCAAATGGGAAGATGCCTTATGAGGTGAAAGGTTAAGGTTCCTGGTGGGCGCACAGTGGGGAGCCAAATGCTGTCTCCACAACTAAGGAATAAGACTATTTCAGATTTGAAGGTTTAAAGTGGCGGGTTGAGCGATTTTGTCAGAAAAATAATTGTTATATCTAGATCTATTGATATATTGTAATATATTATATCGATACCATACATATGTGCAGATAAATTAGCCCTCCATCTTGCCAATGGTTATTATAAGTTAATGCGGACAGCATCGTGCTACAAATGAAAAGTGACTTCAAATCTATTTCGTGGATTGGTCCCTGACGAGATACTGATATTATTCTTGATATGGGGTAAGCCTCTTCGATGAGAAGGGGGGGGGGGCGTTTCCTTCCCTACCTCCCTCTGGCACCATTCCTGGATGTATGCTAAAATTGTATTAGACAGGGCTTCAGTGCTACAGAATGTAAACAATAACCTACAAATAAATAATAAACAGTGTGATAAAGAAAAAAACAAAATATGCCGAATGTGCAAATCCGTTCACACAGTTTAATGTTCTCTCTCTGAATATAATGGAAATTGGTTGTCAAGTATATACTTGCTGTTTATAGTTAAACACATAAGATGACCTTTACAAGATGTCTTTTGCTCTCAACTTTAACCCTTTCTACAGAGTGTGCAATAAGATGTGACGTGCAGCATAGTAATGTTGTACTGACAGTATATCTGATTAACATCTTTTACATACGTGATCCAGACAACCCAACACAATAAGCTCCCTGATACTTCCCTACAAAATGAATTCACAACCGAGTTTCGCCTCGACTGAGTGGTTTTGACTGACACCCGATTGATTTTGAATCTGGCATCATGTTCATCCTGCAGGCACGATAACATATGGCTGATGTGGGGCCAGGTTCTTCTCTTCGCTACACACGTAGATCCACTGTGGTTGCACGAACTGCAGGGATGGATTATCTGCTAAAGCCTGGTAGAAGATAGAAAGCGGACACTTGTCACTTATTGTTTACACTTATAGGTACACTTATTGTTCACTTATTGCATTTCTCTTCAGAAAATGTTAAGCAGTAATAATAATAAAAGAGTAGTACTATTCTCCTATTACTATTCACATTTGTAAACAGTAATTCACCATAGTAACACTGCCTCTAAATCTCATCCATATGCAGCTGAGCAATTATTAGATTCTGTTTATAAATTTATAATACTTTTCTTTACGAAAATCTAAGCCTATGCAATTAACGAATAAATTACTTTCATGCTAGCTTTTAAGCATATGTGTAGGCCTATTATTGTGTGGTTACCCGGTCGCTTCACATCAATTCTACAGCAAAGAAGTTTTTAAAAAGCTAAACTTCATCACATATCTTGATAACGTACATCAAAATACAATAATAAAATCAACTACAATAACAAACAGTAAAATAAATGAACAAGGATTTTTCAGGTTGGCATGTTAGTTCCATAAAGTTGTGAGAGTTTTAATTATGTGCTCTAAAGTGCAGCAAAGTTGTGTCTGTAAAAGTGTATAAATGTTTAGTCTATGATGTTTCAGTTAAATACCAGGCCATAATAAAAAATATTGTTTGTTTGCCCTCACCTGACCGACCCGCAAAAAAGGGGCAGACTCAAACATTTTTACTAATCTTTCTTTTTCTTTTTTTTAACAAATTGTATTACTGTACATTATATAAATCTGTAGGCAATATGTACCAAGCAAAATAAACATTCAACATAAACGGTATCTCCACACAAGCACACCCGAGCATGTAAACACTATCCTGAATTTGTAAAAAGACCCCCGCCCTCAAAAAAGCTGACCTACCTACCCAAACTTTTCGGTCTGGGTCGGGTGAGGGCAAACAAATATTTTTTTAATTGTGGCCCCATACCTCATAAAAGTTGTCATCCCATGCTGAAGACGTTATGACATATGAAATGCCATCACACATATAGTCCTCAATCGTTCTGTGACAAAATGTTGACAGTTATCATACTGTAGTTGCTAGATGATGTATGACTTCAATGTGAAACATTCGAGTTCTAGTCAAGTTTGTAAACATTACTGATTGACAGTAATCCACTACGCTACTATTAGTGGCTCATGGTAGCTTTACATTGACCTCGTGTTATTGAATCTGTCACATGGAAACAGTGCGCTATATAGGCATCATGTCTCACCCGTTGTATGCTGTGATGTGTCTAACAATCTGTCTTTTCTCCTCGTAGCCTCCCAAGTCTCCATAGAGAAAGAACCGTTTGCCCGAAAAAAATGATGGCAACTCTGGTAATGGCAAGTCTTCCAGTGCTGCTGCTGTACCTAAAACATATAATACACAATAAATATACAAAAATTTGATTAAAATAAAACATGAAACCCAATGATATTAGGCATCGAATTGTATTCAGCGTGTATTGCGTTTTCCAGCGTGCTAAAAATAAATGTGTGTTCACGGCGATCTAGCAGCTGATTTTAGCTGTGTTGCCATCGTGTTCCTGACGATAAGGAAGCAAAACAAGTGCTGTTACTGTGCTTACCTAATACCTAATATCCCCAACAGCCCCCAGCGTTTGTCATAGACAATAGAACACTAATCCGATAACAAAGTTTGGTCAAAGAGATGCGAATGGTTGAGAAAACTGTGTGAAACCGTGTTGTATTCAAAGAACTTTTCTGAAAACCACATGTATACGATTTTCAAATAAATTGGTGGTGTCATATGATTAAGGGAGAATCATAGACGAAAACAAGGTAAAGTTTGAATATATTTATTCACATATTGATAGAATATTTTCAAGTTGAAAACTATGCAAAACGCTGTTAAAACAGTGTCATATTCTTTTCCCATTATGTACTCTTGATATATTATATATATATATATATATATATATATATATCACTGTTACACACATCGCACTAATGTTTCATTGTCAATCATACCAAATCCTATCAATGCATATTTATCAGGAGTAGATAATAGGGAAGAAGTGTGACATCAATAAACAAGGGAAATTCGTCATTTAATTACTAGCCTTAGAATACCTACGATTTACTACGCGTAACTCATCCAACTTGAGCTCAAATCGGACACAGTACATTCGCCTACCATCGTGCGAAATCGTTTCCTCGTATACACCCGCAATCCGGAGATACAGACTAAAACGTATGACACGATTCTCCATTCTTTGGCCATCAATCCAAAGCCATTGCGTGCCTCTAATTCAAACAAAAGGCAGCTACCTAACGCGCTATTGCTAACTCGGCGAGGCATGTGGCTCGCTGAGAGATTAGGCATCAACACTCGGCGAGATAACCTTTGACCCGGTACACAGCTACACAGGCCACCTCTGCACGTATCTGGCATGCCTTCACGCACGCATGCCAACCGCAATCAGCAGCAGCTGATCGGGCTCAAATCTCCCAGCGAGCCACATTGCCCGCCGAGTTAGCAAACTGTGGTTAGGTAGCTGCCTTTTGTTTGAATTAGAGGCGCGCAATGGCTTTCGATTGATGGCCAAAGAATGGAGAATCGTGTCGTACGTTTTAGTCTGTATCTCCGGATTGCGGGTGTATACGAGGAAACGATTTCGCACGTTGCTAGGCGAATGTACTGTGTCCGATTTGAGCTCAAGTTGGATGAGTTACGCGTAGTAAATCGTAGGTAGGCTAGTAAATGACGAATTTCCCTTGTTTATTGATGTCACACTCCTTCCCTATTATCTACTCCTGATATTTATACACTATTTATACTGATATATGACACAGTGAGATCATATCTGACTGCAATTGTGATAAGACAGTGGTATTACAATATATAAATGTTGTTTCTGAGCTATATAGTTATCACAAATATTAGCACTAAACAGTGATCAATTCAGAGATTTGAAGCACCTGCAGGAAATTGACAGATATGTCAAGACATACATGAGCAACGCAAACTCACCTGCGATTGAACTCTGATCCATCGGTTCCTCATCTGTCAGCTGCTCAAATGGGTCACTACTTTTCTTCAAGAGGTCTTCTTGTTCCTCTTTAACTCTAAAGAGAACACAAGTTCTAGATGTAAAAATACGTACACATGACCACATATTGAATAAATAAACATAGCAGGTTAGAACTCCAAATGATCTGATATGAAATGAAATGGTATGATATGAATACCAAGAAATCGCTAGTGCAACATTAAAATCGCAATCAAATCGAATCTCATCCAAAATTTGAGGACAAGAGCAAGGAAGTGTACATGTGTATTCTGTGTCATGTTAAACAGCACAAAAAGTAATAAAATTAGCATATTATCAAGCAGGAGTTCGTTTTCAACAAATAACTTTTTTAAATGTAGTTGAATTGGAGAGCTTCACGATCATGATTTCTCATAAACCTCTTTCAACCTGTTTATTTCATCTTCAGTGTCAACAGAAGCTGAATCCGAGAGATCTTCTTTTGTTTGCAGATCGTCTGCAGTTTCATGCGTTTCACCTTCACAATCACTAACAGTTTGCGTTTCTGTAAAAAGATTGTACTGTACAGTTATAGGATATCGGAGTAATGTTTTTGTATTTAAAAAAAGCAAGGAAGCAAGATTTCTATGGGACACAATACATCATTGCAATCATGTGATACGAATCGCATCATTTGGATGCAAAAGCACCTAGTCTAGAATACAGAAAAACATGGGTTATTTAAGATGGCAAAGAATGCAAGACTCTGTAACAGAACACTATGCATGGCCTCTACCTAACTATAGGTTCAATCGCGACTCCCTTCCTTTTTCTTCTTTTGCTTACGTGTTATTTCCGTTCTGGTGTCTTTTTTTATTGCTTGTGAATGTCTTTTCAGATCTGGTTCCAGATCTTCCTTTGCATTAGAGGGTTTCCATTCTTCATCCTCTGTCTCAGAATCTGAACTGCTACTGTTCCTATCTTTCAGTTGATACCTGTGTAATATTAAATACCAGAACAACACACACAGTTCATTAGTTCATTTTCCACAACCCTATTCAACATTTACAAAATTCCCTTATACAAATTAAGCCATACTTGAGCTGGCTTGATTTATACACCACTAAATCTAAGCAACCATGCTAATTGCGGTAACAGTCAATGTAATTCTTAATGGCTTGCAAAAATAATCTAACAATAATAAAACACAAGATCGTAATGAATAGATACAATTTGGCATTGATGGTATGTTCATTATCATCAATTTTGATTTACCACACAGACCCACCTCTTCCATGGCATTCGATTTTTCTTTGTATAACAATCTTCTATCCAAGCTTTCTTGACAATCTTTCCACCTTTTCGCAGCACCTGGTTGAACTTTGGAGTGTTTGCAAAAGCACATCTACATGTGTAAGCACAGGATTAGAGAATAGTTGCAATATGTAAAGGTCTAGTCTTCTGTTTGAAATTATAAATGTTCACATGTAAACGACATGTAATATAAGAAATAATACAATTCTTACTTGACCAAGAATGAAGCAAACGAAAATAGTATCACTCATGGAGAATCATAGCACATTTCCATCAATAATTTTGCCCAAATACTATCATCAAACTTTAATACTATATAACATAACAAAATGTTACAGATGAATTCCTTCCTAGCTTATAAAAACTATAACCTAGCACCCCTTAAATTTACAAATGTCTACGTACATAAGGTGGGTGCACTCTGGCATCCAATCTGGCCTGTATTTGGCTCCCATCTCCACTGCCATTTCTCTTATCTGCCCCCTGACTGGGTTCTGGTAACCACTCAGAGCGAATACGACTCCCCTCATGATAGAGTAGAAATCCACTTTCTCTTCCTCTCGACATTTTCGGGTTTGCGCTTAAAAAGTAGTAAATGTGATATTATCATCCGTTTGGGTTCTGCAGACGACCAATTATGCAATCATACTATCAGAATTTCTTTAAACGTGTTATTATTGTAACACACTGATACAACCAAGAGTACATAATAGGAGAAGAGTATGACACCGTTTTAACAGCGTTTTGCATAGTTTTCAACTTGTAAATATTCTATCAATATGTGAATAAATATATTCAAACTTTACCTTATTTTCGTCTATGAGTCTCCCTTAATCATATGACACCACCAATTTACCTGAAAATCGTATGTGTTCTTCAAAATAGTTCTTTGAATACGACACGGTTTCAAACAGTTTCTACGAATGGCAGCATGTGTTAATAGGCGAAAGTTTAGTATGGGATTAGTGTTCTATTGTCTCTATCTTGTATCTTGATTACAACCTGGTGCTGGCGCCGCATATCAACTTTGGTCGAACGTTCGCCTAACACATGCTGCCATTCGTGGAAGCTGTTTGAAACCGTGTCGTATTCAAAGAACTTTTTTGAAGAACACATACGATTTTCAGGTAAATTGGTGGTGTCATATGATTAAGGGAGACTCATAGAAGAAAATAAGGTAAAGTTTGAATACATTTATTCACATATTGATAGAATATTTACAAGTTGAAAACTATGCAAAACGCTGTTAAAACGGTGTCATACTCTTCTCCTATTATGTACTTTTGATACAACTCAGCTGTCGAAACAAGATTGTTGCAATTATGAAAGTTTGTGAAATAGTGGCAAATGAATTCTATTAACATTGCGACCTAATATGCTTCACAAAGGTAAACACCCAGTGTCAGGAGGAAATATTTACTTACGAGATAATATATTACATGATAAAAATTCAGTAGTGACTTACGTATGGCACTTGTAGACGCAGCTGGCTTTTGCTCTTTCGCATGATTAGAGTTCTTGTGTTCTCTCTTGATGTTGTCTTTTCTCGGCTGCAATGATTTTGGACTGTTCTTCTCTTCTTCCTCATCGTTCAGACGTTTTCGCTTCGTTGGTTTCTCGAAATGTACATGACAAATTTAGCAATAAGCTTAACAAGATGAGAGCAGCTCTACTTTAATTAGATTTACCAGCAGACAGACATGATTCTATCAAACTACACATTAGCTTTACTTATACAATGTTCCACGGATTGTGTGAGTTAACATAGCCCCCTACAAGTTACATATTTTAACTTAAAGCCCAGCGCACACGTGAGTAATTTTACTCAAGTAAAATGCTGCACGAGTCAAAATACTCACGCGTAATATTTTCAGCGTTCGCCACACACGTGAGTAAAATTACTCAAGGAATAAGTGGTAATGCAGATCACGTGACTGTGCGCAGCCAATACTGGGCGCACAATGATTTAAACGCATGCGCTGTGAGTAGTAAGTACCAGCGTTGAGTAAATTTACTCAGCGCGCGCACACGTTGAGTAAAATGCACATGAGTCAAAAATTATCAAACACGTTTGATATTGAGTAAAATGACGCATGTGTCAAACTACTCAACGAAAATCTGCCGCATACGTGAGTAAAATGACTCATGCGTCATTTTACTTGAGTAAAATTACTCACGTGTGCGCCGGGGGGCTTAAGGTACTTTCAAATCATCAGAAAAAAAACATTTGTGTATCATAAAATAGCAGCGGTCTATGCAATAACTATTCACAAAACCCCTAGGTATCAGCATCAAGTATTCATCACAATAACACAAAAATTTAATACCAGATCTGACGCCTTTCCTGCTGAATTATCCTTGGTCGGTGGAGTCTGTTGCAAAGCTGGATGATTAAGCGAATCTCGAGCAGCCGCCCTCACAGCTGGTGCACCTAGATACCATAGATAATGTCACAGACTTAGTTAGAACAGTATAGTACACATATCAAGGCACACAGTAACTGGCGTCACTGCCATTCATACCATATACAGTTAACCCCATGATAGCAGACACCTATATAGAATAGACATCTATCTATAAAGGAAACTTTTGGTATTTCGCTTTAGTGAAGATCACACAATGAAACCACCTCTCTACAGTGAACTCATGACTACAATGGACAATTTAGGGGTGTCCCGCTATATAGTGGCGGATACACAGTGAAACCAACCACTTATACAGAATGGATACCTGATTGACGATTATATGGAGGTTTGACCCTATGCACAAACAATGTGTATTACGAAATGCCACGATATGTTTAGATCACATCAACAAGCAACGGCCCCGCATTGGAAGCTTTCTCACCGACAACAGATTGGACTTTAGCTGTGTTCCTGCTGGCAAACAGCGATCCGGCTGTGAGCGTAGGTACGGACTCCTTCTCCACCCTCAGATGGAAGCCACCGATCGTCTGTTTATCGTGTGCAGGTAATCAAGGAATGATGCGTGTGCAAAAAAATGGAAACAAAATTCGTTGTTAATCAAATACAACAAAGTGTACATCAAAACACCTGTGCTATTAACTGTGGTCGTACCAGTATTATTATTCAAAATTTTACTGTAACCTATAAGCCTACCTCTAATCTAAATGCCAAAATTTCAAAGGATAATATCAGGAGTAGATAAAGGGAAGGAGTGTGACTTCAATAAACAAGGGAAATTCGTCATTTACTAGCCTTATAATACCTACGATTTACTACGCGTAACTC